GAGCCGGGGGCTGCTCCGGGGGCCCAGGCTCAGAGGCTGTTCCGGCAGGCCCCATGGCAGCAGGGGAGTTGCTCGAGCAACCTGGGCCCTGGGGGGTGCTGCTCCAGTGGCCTGGGCTGCATGGTAGCTGGGGAGATGTCCCAGCAGCCATGGCTGCGTGGTGGTGGGAGGGGTTTGCTCTGGTGTCTGGGGGCTGTTTCGGTGGCCCAGGCCACGTGGCAGTGGAAGGGAGCTACTCCGGTGGTCTGGGCCATATGGAGGATCTGCTCCAGTGGCCAGGAGCTTCTCTGGCAACTTGGGCTGCATGGCGGTGGGACTACTCTGGTGTCCGGGGGCTGCTCTGGTGCCCTGGGCCACGTGGCGGTGGGAAGGATCTGTTCCGGTGCCGGGGACTGCTCTGGCAGCAAGGGGACCATGTGGCAGGGGGGCTGCTCTGCGAGACCAGGTCTCATAGTGGGGAGGGGGACTGCTCTGGTGGCCAGGGGGAGGGGGTGCTGCTTTGGCAGGCAAAAAAGAGCCCATAAAAGTTTCTAATGCTTATTCTAGTATATTTACAAAATAATTTGTTTTTTCACGTGTTTAGGGACTGGCAGCAATGCATGTTACATGGAGGAAATGAGAAATATAGAGATGGTTGAGGGAGATCAAGGACGAATGTGTGTGAACATGGAATGGGGTGCATTTGGAGACAATGGATGCCTGGACGACATCAGGACCACTTATGACAAAGCTGTTGATGATTATTCATTAAATGCTGGAAAACAAAGGTATTTAAATATGGAATAAAAGCAAGAAATATGATGCAAAATTTATGGAATACTAATGTGCTTGGAATAAGTGATGTTGCTTTCAGCTGGTGTTAAAAGGTGCTGTAATAAGATCTGTTTTTGTTAGAAAATGGAAGGATTACGAGGATATAATAGTTTGTGCTGTGACCTTCCTTGTTCCTGGTTTCCCAGATGGATGACTTTCTCTATCTGACAGGTTAAGTGGTTGCAGTCTTTTCTTCAGTGTGAACTCTGTTGGTCAACCATGCCTTTGTCACATCAGGGTCTTAAACTGCACTGTACTGTGCTTGGCACTACCGTCTCACGTCCACCTGGAAATTTCAGCTAGTAGAATGAAGCTGTCTGCTTTTTAAGGTGGGATGAGCTGTGATGTGCCTAGAACATTGGCTCAGACCTCTATACTGGCCTTTTATTTGTGACAAGTTAATTTGAAGGTTTTGCTAAGAGCTTGGAAGTGGGAGTATGAATGAGCGTTCTTTGAAACTCTTAGTTCATGTTAGCACAGTGAGTTAGTGTGTGAAAAGCTAGTGTGTTACAGATTCATGCTGCAGTTTATTGTGCACTAACTTGCTGTGTGTACAAGCCATCACACAAATATACAGTAATATGTATAGTATGATTGAAGTGTAAAAACACATGAGGAATACAGGGAACGTGTCAGAGTATTTGAGATGCTCCAAAATGTGACAGTAGAATTTGAAGGCCCTAAAGAATCAGGGCACTGAGGGAGCTGAGAGATGTTTTCTTTGCAGTGGCAGCAAAGAGAGTATGGAACAAGTGGTCAAAGGGGTATATAATTCAAAGGGTACATGAGAGAGAGAGAGAGAGACCATTTATAGGGTACAAGGCTGTTAATGGATTATATGGCTCCCATGCAATGTTATGCTGTACCTAGGTTGGATAGGCGAGCCAGTAAAATCTCACATTTGTACAAAGGATCAAGACAGACACTATAATTTAGTGAATTATTGATTAAACAAAAATAAAAGCGGAATGTATCTTGCAATGAGTTGATAGATGCGGAGTCTGAAGCACTGTGTATAACTCTGGTCACCCATGTTAAAAAAAGATAAATTCAGACTAGAACAGATGTGGAGAAGGGCTGCTAGGATGATTGTGGCAATAGGAGAGTCTGTCCTGCAAGAGGAGACTGGGAGTAACATGTATAAAGTAAATGAAATTGTGGTTGTTGCACAGGTAAACATACCTGTGCTAATCTAGCTAGCATAGGTAATGGTCATAGCAAAGACTTGGTGGCACAGGCTTCTGCATGGATTAACGATCCAACTGCATATCCAGAGTCCCCACTGGACTTGTGTTATGGTGACTAACACATGCTGAAGTCTGTGCTGCCATGTCTTCCTGGGTGTAAATGATAGTTTTAACTGCATCAAATTTTAGTGGTTACACAACTATTCAATAGTCCCTGGGGGCGGCAGGGCTGGCAGCCAGTGCGCTCCAGCCCCACTCCTGGAGACCCCTGTGCCACCCCATACTTCTGCCTCTGTATGAGAGGCAGCAGCACATGACGGCAGGCAGGAGTTGGTCGGGGAGGGGGGTCAGTTTAAAAACTGGCTTCCTGTGTAGACTGGCTCTGCCTTCTGCCCTGCACTGCTTCCTCTGATATAGAGGCAGCAGCGCAGATTGGCAGCAGCCCCTGCCCACAGGGGGTCCAAGCTCCCTGCAGACAGAAGCCAGTGGGAATTCCATGGAGTAGCCTCTGTCTGCAGGGAGCTCAGACCCCACACAGATAGGGCCTGCGGCCATGGCGCAGCCACTGTC